TTTCTAGTGAAGGGAGTAGGAGAGCCAGCGTAGGAGAGGAGAGAGGGAGAGGGGCGCGCATGCGCAGCGAGGGTGGGTCACGCCGCGCTCCGGATGTGGCTCGACCATAAGAAGCTTCGCATCTTAAATCTGACATTGGCAGCGTTCACCCGTTATATGCAAAGAATGAATATCGCGGTCCCAGCAGGAATTGAACTGAAAATTTCTGCGTGGCAATCAACTATTCTACGACAGAGCCACGCCGAGTCTCGAAAGTACTTCGGAAAAAGACCTTATGCAAGCGTAATGTCGGTGAAACTACTACCATTGTGGTTGCAGTGCTGGCTATCTAAATCGATGAGCATTACGTATACGTTCTCGTAGGATACAGGCGTCCAGTCGGGTTTGTGTGAGTTGTATACTTAAGCGCCATCTACTGAAGTAGACCTACGCAGCACTAGCCATGGCTATCGTCCCCGCCAGCTCAAGCGCTGCGTATCGGCTTACCGCTTCTGCATATGAAGAATGGGACGGTCCCGTTGCGTACGTTGTCAAGCCCTTTCCGCCAGATTCGCGTGGCTCATACCCGTATACCACGGGCGGGCATGTGTCCCAGGGTATGCGGCATCTGCGACCTGTTATTTGCAGTTTGTCTATAGTCGGGTACGACTTTAGAAGGCGGCGGCATTTTCCCCTCATAAGCGGATGCACACGAACCTCTACCAATAGGCGCGCACTTCAGGTGACGTCACGAGACGGGCGGCCGGTGACCCCGCCGACGGAAAACATGCTGACTTCGTTGTTTCCAGTTCAGCTCGCAAACGACCGATCGTTGGCAGCAGTGTGCATAGCTGAGCGCCTCGCTGCCCGAATGAGCATTTTGAGGTCGCCAAAGGTAATCAGGGAACAATAGTGTTTCGACTCATACATGCCAGCGTTGAATTGTGTTTCTAGGCCACTCCTCAAATCGAGCATGATGTATGAGGGACGTTGCCTGCTGAAATACGCGTTTTAGAAGCAGTCACAAATTTTGTGAATGGGGCTATTTCTTTAGTCGTGGAACGAATCAGCTGCTGCGCTTCGGTCATCTGGACGGGGCCATTCTTGTATTCTTAAGTTGTACTCGACTAGACTCGGAACACCCACTACTTGCTCCACCTCCCATATATATATATATATATATATATATATATATATATATATATATATATATATATATATATATATATATATTATATATATATATATATATATATATATATATATATTATATATATATATATATTATATATATATATTACGAACAGCAAGAACTGACAGCCCCGCCGCGGTGGTCTAGTGGCTAAGGTACTCGGCTGCGACCCGCAGGTCCGCGGGTTCAATTCCCGGCTGCGGCGGCTGCATTTTCCGATTGGAGACGGAAATGTTGTAGGCCCGTGTGCTCAGATTTGGGCGCACGTTAAAGAACCCCAGGTGGTCGAAATTTCCGGAGCCCTCCACTACAGCGTCTCTCATAATCATATGGTGGTTGTGGGACGTTAAACCCCACAAATAAAAAAAATAAAAAAAGAACAGACAGCGGTAATTTTAACGCTTACATCGGCAGCGTTGACCCGACGAATGCAAGGAATAAATATCAGGTCCCCAACAAGAACCGAACCCAAGAGTTTTGCTTGGCAATCAAGTATTCTACCTCATAGCGATGCCAGGTCTTGATAGGGCTTTGGAAAACGACACCATTCAGGCGTTATGTTGGTGAAACGTCAATTCTGGTTGCAATGTTTACTATTCAAATTTTGTAAACATTAGATATGTTTCCATGTCTAATGGCCCCGCCTCGGTGGTCTAGTGGCGCAGGTACTCGGCTGTTGACCCGCAGGTCGCGGTATCGAATCCCGGCAGCAGCGGCTACATTTTCGATGGAGGAGAAAATGCTGTAGGCTGGTGTGCTCAGGTTTGGGTGCACGTCAAAAAGAAGCCCAGGTGGTCGAAATTTCCGGAGCCCTCCACACGGCGTCTATGATAATAACATCGTAGTTTTCGGACGGTAAACCCCACATATCAATCAACCAAACATTAGACATGTACTCCTATAATACAGCTTTCACGCCGGGTTAACGTCAACTGTATAGTTAAGCGCCATCTATTTACGTTGATTTATGTAGCTACCATCCTCTCGATTACAAACGCTACATACCGGCCAGCTTACCGCACCTGGTGTTGCTAATAGTCATGTTACTCTTTGCATCATTATGCATGTGTAAACATCTGGTTATATAAAATACATGTGACTGTTCAACATGTCTCTGTGCGTGCAACATTAGCACATGTCTTTAGCGTAATTTCCATGCGTTTCTCTAATTACAACACAGTCACCTTCCCTCCGAATGTTTCGAGTAACGTCTATTCTCAAGCAACGTTGGATCTTCCGAATTCTTTATTTCTCAGTCGCTCATGTAGTGCTTGCGTTCTCCTTTTATTGGATCGCTTATTTTTTATTTTTGTAAGTGCTGAGATTTACTTGTACTGTCTAGTTCGGCGGGATAGCAACTTGCTGATATACTCGCTCAGTATGTATCGCGGCGTAATAAGCAGCGTCAGACAGCTTGCGCCGCAATGGATTGTTGCCCTAAGATGACCCACAGGTTCTTGTGTGGTTTATATTTGAGAATCCTCTTAACACATTCAAAATTCAACAGATGTGTGAAACAAAACTTTATTTTCACTTTTTGGTAAGCATTCAATCACAAGTGAGACATGTGTTCTTCGTTTTGTGTAGCACGGTGAACAACATCATTCTGGTGAAGAGAAACTTTCAAATGTTCATCTCGATATTTACAAACAAGCACCCGCTGACATAAATAGCTATCAGAGGTTTTGATAGCAAGCACCCAACGTCAACACGTTAAGAAACCAAGAACTTTACTCTCTATTGTATACACACAACATCCTGTTTGAAAACGTACCTCCTCTTGTGAAAGAGTCCTCACAACCGCGCTTCTCTTACAGTTGAAGTGCAGACAGATGAAACAGTTTTACTATACATTCGTATAGACTCGATCAAGAAAGCAAACGCGTCCTCTGCAGAGACATATAACAAGCAGATAAAAAAATGATTTGTCCCATGTACTATTGGGAATGCACAAGAAACAAAGAATAGACACTAGGAAACACGGCGACAACTGAAGGACCTTCTAAAGGTCGCCTTGCTGAGGGATGGCAAGCCGCTCTCTTCGGTGAGGCCCCCGAAGACCAGAAGTTGGTCGCCGTTCAGCGGGCCATGAGGTCGCCGTCGAGAACCTCGGAAGATGTTCCTTTGAACGGTGGATCCCTGGCAGCCTAAATCCCAGGCATAGCAACAACCGTTGGACAAATAAAGTTTATTCAAAAACAATACGGCGAGCACTCAAAGAAAGAGCGGCACAACAATGTCCGGCCGGCAAAGTGAAGTACTCCACTCAGTGCAAGCTTTCAGACAAAAATGTCCGTTCGTTACGCACCGACCGCTCCTAGTGCGCTGTCCAGTCGCTATGCACCGACCGGTCTCAGGTGAAGATCGGTTTCTTTTCCACACACGTACACAGTAAAAAAAAAAAAAAGAGGATGACCTTAATTTTAGGTATGGCGGTCCTTTGCCGCCAATTTCCCACGGGGTGGGTGCCCTCCCAAGCGACTATAACTTCGTTCTGCCGAGCACCAGGCATGAAGTGCGCTTGTATCTATTTATCCAGTAGGTACCTGGCGGCACCAATTCTTTGCCTCCCACAGCAGTGGCAGATGCTCAACTACTTCACCAAGGCTATGGTTCGTTAAGGTACGCCCAGGGGCTTCGTAGAACCTTATGGGGCTACCTTTCGAGATGAGTAGCCAGAAATAACCGAACGCCAGTTCGATTTACTCTTCTATATACCATTGGGAAAAACCGGTGGGTTCTGGGTCGGCACTGAGAATCGAACCCTGCACCAGCCGCATTGGTAGCGGACGCTCTAACTATAGCCGCCACTGCGGAGTGAAAGCAGGCACTACATTCAAGTGGCGTTATTTCATTCTATGTAAAAACTGAAAGGAAGCTCGGCAGCGCCATTTTGGTCTTTCGCATTATTGTACGCGGGCAATGCAAGCTGCATGTTGTCACGCTCTTGCAAGCACAACAGGAACGAGCAATAAACGGTAACGTACTCGCACTGACACTATATGGTGACAATGCTATACAAGGGATCAGTAGTTTTTGTTTCATGGAACAAAGGTGTGAAGCGAAGCGATCGAGAAGGATCCACACTACACTGATATGAGATTCATTGGATACACACGGCGACATTTTGAGTTTTAAACGGCCTTTTCGTTTCCTCTGCAGCGTTTACGTTGTTTTACAAGGCAGGCGCTCTATTGGTCGTTCGGATCTCGGCCGTAGTAAAGTTTTCTGGACGTAATGCTATGCTTGCAGCTGACAAGTTTTGTTGTAAGTTGCGAATAAGTAATTTCAGCTTAATTACGTACCCCAAAATTTGGCTTCCTTTTTACGAACGAGTTTTTCATGAACAAGACACCAATACCCAATACATCATTCGGGCACATCGGAAAAGAGAACGAGGATTACATACAAAACGATTACATACAACAAAACATCTCTCATAGAACAGTCGCGGATGACCAGGAAAAGGCTGTTAAGTAGCACTCTCATATGTTTACGTGGACTATAGCTGTAGTGCCGGCGTCCCGATTTTCTCGACGTCACTTGGACAAGCACCGAAACACGTCACTCGAAGCGATGTCACTTTGGTCTCCACAGCCGCAATCTCTCCTTTACATGCTGAGCCCGTCGATGAACTGGCCTATAAGTATACACTGGCTGTTCGAGTCACTGCCCTAGAGAAGACAGTCGAAGAATCGGCGCAGTAAGCTCAACTTCCGCGCTCGCACTCGCTTCTCTCTTGCAGATCCAACATCTGAATTTCGCATGGTGGCAACGTGAATCGTGTGCGCGCCACACGGCTACTGCGCACGGCGCCTTTGGCGTGCCACTAGGAGGTCCTCCGGGAGCCCATGTCGACGCTGTCGAATGTCTGGCGTGGCACCGAGCGCACGGGCGAGCTCTGTCGGCTGGTGTTGATCTCGGTGCCCTGGGTCGTCATCTCGGGTAGAAGGCCCGCCGTGCCGCGCGGGTGCGACCCGTCCACTGTCTTGTCCTGGTGGCAGCAGCAGCACACTTGTTGCCTCAGCGCCTGCACGAGGTTGCGGTTGAAGAACAGGTAGATCCACGGGTTGACGCAGCTGTTCAGGCTGTTGAGCAGCATCAGGATGGTCACGGTGGCATCTGCGCCGGACAGAAAGCGCACGGAGAAGTCGTCAAGTCAATGTACTCAGAGAAGTTTTCACGTCAATTTAGTCCTATAGTTACATCCTGTAGTATGTGCTTGCAAGGCCTCTGGAGAAGGAAAAAAAATTGTCCTTCCGGACATTACTGCGCTTATATCGGCTAACTCTGCTCCTAATACCCATATGGGGCCCGAAATGATTACTAGCGAAGTGCGGCAACCCTAAATCCCTAAATCAATGGTACACGTACCCCTAATGGTGTTTTGTAATGAAGGCATAACTAATTCTTGAACACGCGTGTTCAAGAATTTTTCATATTTTCGAGCTTACCCCGAATCTCTGGTTTATTCGGTCTCGCAGAGGCAAGTACAGCGACACATCACATTTGCTTTGGTTCTGCGCGTATGTATCAGTGCGACGTTTCGTGAAACATGGTCATACCGAAAAAGTTCAATATGCGCGTGGCTTTTACTTAAATTGTTCAAAATATATCAGTACGCCGGATACTGGCACGCGAAGCTACATGCAGATATATGCACTGGTGATGAAGAATTTATTTCGGTAACTACTTCCACGCTCTATGAACCTTCCGACAGGAATTTAATATCTCCTAATATGTGGGGCACTGCTGAGCTGTCCCGCCACATTTTTTTACATTTGCAACATTCCTTCGAGAAAGAGGTTACCTACTGCGAGTTCATTTTTTTTTTGGCGCGTGTGAAGCTGATCTTTATTACTCTTATGCTGGTGCATGTTGGTGTAGAGCATTAGTATTGTTGCAATCACATGCGAAGCCGACAGAAGTAATAGCGTATATATATGATATATATATATATATATATATATATATATATATATATATATATATATATATATATATATATATATATATATATATATATTACGTTTATCGGTCGCAAAGAAAAAAAACATTATACAATTATACGCAAGTGGCGTGCGAGAAGGCAAGGGAAGTCTGTAAAAAACTGATACAAATGCAGGCACGAAGAAAATTGCTGACATCGTCCCTTTGCGCTTCGAAGAATTTCATTAAGCGTGCCTAAATTCTCAAAGTTCACAATATAAATATATTGCGTTCTTCACAACCTATCTTCGTCTTCTTTCCACTCCATACTACTTTCTCATTCACTTTTTTTCAGTGACAGCAGAATGTAGAAGCTGTAAGAAATACAGCTGGGACGTTATTATTTTCGCAAAGGTCGTGGCACCTCCAGAGCTAAACGAACTGCGGTTTTATTGGAATATTTACCTAAATATTTTGTTTGCTATTGATATTCTCTGGCGGCCGCAAAAGTCGATGGCGTAAGGAAGGGAACATTAACGCACTGGCCACTTACGCGACGAGTGACCGTGAAATGTCAGAGCTTAACCGCAAAGGCGAAGCGGGGAATGCAGTGGCAACAAATTGGAATGTCATACAAAGTATATATCTAGCAGCTCACTCATTTAGCATCCGATCTGTTGTGACTCAACAAAACACTGACGTACGAAAACGCAGTCACTACAGGAAGCGAAGCGACTTTCCCGCTGTCTGTCGATTAAACGTTAACTAAAAGATGAGAACAAAGCGCAAACAAAGGTATGAACTCCCTGTTGATCCCTGTCAAAATAGAGCTCGTGCATAGAGGCCCTATACTGACCAAGGTACGTAGTTTCTGCCAAGTGGTAAATGATGAATATTAGGTTTGATGTCTAAAACTGACAGCGACTATTTCAAAACGACCGCCTCAGGCACACAGCACCAATTTTTAAGAGGCCTTCGTATGAGTTTCAACGCTATGCGTGTGTTTTAAAGGGCTACATTTCGCCATAAACGAGAAGAGGGGATTTCATTATGGCATCCGCCTTCTTCACGAGAATGATCCAGTTCAGACGGCGAGTGTTGCGAAGGCTGCAGCAAAGCACAGTGGTTTCGAGGAGATGAATCACCCGTCAACAAGGCCACACCTGGTGCCCACTGACTACTCGACCTTTTTTCCAAGCTTAATAAACCTATTCAAGCTTAACATCTGCGGCTCGTCAACAAGTGGGAGGGAAATGCAGTTCGCAGACATTTTAATGGCAAAATCTAGGCTGATTTCTGGAGGGCATGCGAAAGTTAGTCCATAGATTTTAAAGAGTAGTCGTAGTGAATGTGTATTATATTACAAGTGGCACAATTGTGTTTCTGAGTCAATTAAGAGTTAGTCTGGCTGGAAGCTTAAGGAACTGCTGAAATATCTTGATTTAATGAAATATGAGGTGGCAATGTGCTGGTCGGTGTATTTTGCCTTCCGTCCTCGTTTGTTCTGTACGTGCGTTGCAATATCACAACTAAGATTTTCTGTATTCCTTAATAAAGATCACGAGAAAGAAATTGCTCAGTGGTCTTCTTGCGATTACATAGCAGTGTTATCAACGCTGCCGACGACGCTTTCGGAGTCGTTTCAAAGTCCGGCTTGGTTCGCTGGAGTGGAAACGGCGTTGGAGTGCTTTTGTCTGTAAAAGTTTGTGCGACATTCGCGAAACAAATCATCGAAAAAAAAAGCAGTACGAAAGACACGGTTTGCTATTGTTCAGCGCCACACACACCTCAACACTCGTCCTGTTGTACTGTGTGTTTCGTCCCGATGAAATTCGGAAACGGTGACTGAGGAAATGGTTCACAGTGTTTCCGCATTTGCGCCGAACATTCGTACGGATAAGCCAGACATGCAAATGCGATAGCATTTGCTTAAGGTGCAACCCGCAGTCAATACAGCAGCACTGTGCTAGTTAGCGAGAAATACGGTAGTAATTCAACGCGTAAAGAGTGGATTGTTGTTGCGTTAGCGATGATTAAATAGTGGCGTTGTATTCTGAAGACTGCGTGCGACGCATTACAAACGCGTCTAATACGTTGAAGTTTTCTCGCAGCCTGTATAATCTTGATAATTGTATAAGGATTGCCTCTGCTCCAGAAATGACAAATCTGGCAGCATTATCGTAAGCGGGGTTGCGAACCTTTGCCTCCCGTGCTCTCCTTTTTTCTCTCTCGTTTGCGGATAATGGCTCAACGACCGGAGAGCCACAAAGTGTTTCCCATCAGGACGTTGATGTGCCACTTCGTATAATAACGTGCTCTGTTGTAATACAAATAGCACTCCACGCGGGAAGGCTTAGAAGGCAATTACGTACTGCAATTTCTGTACACTAAGGCCACTGCGCAGCCTGGTTATTATTTTGGCAGCATGCTAGGTATACTCCTATATTTAGGGAGGGCCGAGATGATGTTTATTCCATCAGAGAGGCCTCCCAGCACACCCGTCAAAAGAATTCGGAATCAATTTGTTACGCCGGTGAACACGGAAGAGAATCCTATTATGGCTGCAAAGCGTTTTCATCCCTCTGGGCGAAAAGCGTCCTCGGAGGATCGCTTTATGTTGGAGTGGCATGCCATACCTACTTCACCGTGTTTTTCCTTACAGTAAAACGCTGTTCAAACTCTCTTATGATGGTCAGTCTGCAAGGCTTACTCCGCAACATCGTTCCTTTCATGCACCGTTATTCCCACAACCTCTCAGTTCCTCGTTATTGAGTTGTTTATCTCCTTTGAATTAGCTAACTGAGCACGTATGTAGGGCCAGTCTGGCTTTATAATAAAATAAACGAAACCTCGATCACTGCTTCGCCTTTCATATAACGTGGCTGCTGGTAGACTTGGTATGACACCGCGAATGGCTCACAGTGTCTGGCATAATTGCCATAAACATACCCACAAATCTTTTTTTTAGAGTTGTACGTACGTCACTTTAGTTTTTGAAAACTATGTTCCGGTTATTTTAGATGCTAGAGTGTTTTCTAGAGAGCTGCTAGAGTGCCGCACTTCTTTAATATTTTGGTGCGATTTCAGCTATACTTATTCCTATATCTAATTTGTCTCTCTCCGCTTGTCACTATACAACGTCAGGCAACCTCCTCAAGTTCTTTTCTCAAAACAGCACAGTAGTCATTTTGCAAGTGTGGGTGCGCAGCAGAGTATATGCAATTAATTGTGGCAAAAGGGCATGCATGTTTCAGCTTCACTAACGTGAAACCTTGGGAGGTCTTGAGACATGCAGTGGGTGCCCTTATTCCTCAAAGCGAAATCTTTACCATTTAAACGTACTCCCCTCCTGTCCACTAACGCACCGTCACTTTGCAGATATGTTTCAAGAGGTGACTCTTCATTTGGATGATTTTACAATAGACTTACATTTGTGTTGCCGGTTTTAAATGAGAAACCCGAACGCATCTGTAAATTTTGTCGGGAATGCTGACACCGCTGCTAAGCCAAACATAATGTTTTAAGCAGTAGCAATGAAACTTCTACTCATAATATTCTTAGCATTGGCCAGTGGCAAGAAGTGGGACTCAGCCAATTTTCGTGGCACATATTCATTTATCATGAACCGTGACGAGAACATGACGCGCTGACAAGTCCTTGTGCTAATGTTTTTCGTTCCTAAAAGGCGAAGCTCTTGTCTTCACGTTTGCAGCACGATGTTGGCGATAAGTTCAGAAAATTTTCTGAACGGTAGAAATGAGTGGCTGATTAATGAAGGGATTATCATCCTAAAAAAACACCTGAGCTCCAATTAGCAACGAGTGCACGTAATTTCTTCCGAGAAAATCCTTTTTCGCTTTTCTATATCTACACACGCGTAATCTCCAACGAGTGCTCGTATATATAAATATATGCTATATATTAGTCTCGCGCTCTATTTTGATTGCTGCTAACCCACAGATAACGATCGCATAGCCTGTTTTCTCTCCTTGCGATCATGGAGGACTTCGTCGGAACTTTGACTGCGAACATTTCTTCGAAGACACACCTCTTATTTCTTTGAAGTCACACTTTCGAGGTGTAATGCAGGATCATTCTATATTAAACCTATGTCAACAGCATGCGTAATGTCATGCATTATGTTCAGGTGTTCTGGGAACCCCTTCAATTTAGGCAACTGCGACTAATCCATT